ACCTTGAGCAACGCATTGTATTTCTCGCGCTGTGCCATCAGTGTGATGAGGCGGTCCGAGAGCTTGGTGTCTGTTGTTCGCGTCGCTGAGCCTAATGTTTCCAGGGTCTGCTGCTTCAAGAGCCTGGCCTTAGTGATGCTCCAGCTTGTCGCATCCGACAGTCTCTCGAAGAAGGACGGTGCAGCTACATTGGCATCCACACCCACCACCTGTAGACCGGATCCGGGCCCTGGATCACCAGTCAGCTCCTGACCCTGGCCTCTCGCTGGACTCTGTGCGCCGGGCATGGTAGCCGCTCGCGCTCGCTGTGGTTCGCGAGCCCCATCCGGTGATCTAGCTGCTATCGCAGAAACACCAGCCGCCGCTGCTACTTGAGGACTTTCTGAGCCCTGTCCACTCTCCATTCTCTGCTGCGAAAAGTCGCTCGAGCCCTGAGAAATCTCCAACACGGCTGCTGAGGAGTTGTGAGCCGCTTTTCCAGACTCCTCGTCCTCGCTATCCCCTGCTGCAATGTTGCTGGCATTAGCCGCTGCTGCTCGCTCTGCAAGCTGTTCCACCTCAGCTGCTTCAGCAGAATCAATTTCCGACGCAACACTCTGCAGAATCTCCTCCGCAGATTCTTCCGATTGGTTGTTCATTGTGAATTATTGGTCTACGTATGGACCTCTGAGAGCCTTCGACTGCACCAATCTCGGCGCAAGTGTTCAGCAGAAGACTACTCGTGAGTGGTAGCAGCTTTCAATGACACAATGGTCTTCCAATAACTGCAGAAATTTTTCTACCCTTGCCTTATCAGAATGCAAGTCTTGGTTTGGTGCAGATTTTTTTGCGGCAATCTGGGATCGATCGGAACACTGACACTTTTTGTAGTCTTTGTGCCGATTACATATTATCATGATTATTGCAGCAACGTGCATGACGTAAATGGCAGGTGCCGCTCATGTGCCATGCCGGCATGCCACTGCATGATGCCAGGCAACACTGTCACTGGCAGTGTCACTGTCATGGCAGTGTCAGTACAAGTACAAGTACAACAAAAACTTTGTTTAGGGGCCGTCCGTAAATATCGATATTTTTTTCAAGACGGTACTTTGTTCATTTCTCCCCGGACCCCCTCCCTCCCCCTCAAAACGAACATACACACGTTTATGCAGGGTATCGATATTTTTTTAACAAAGTGTGATCTCCTCGCGAAACGTGACCAAAAGGAACTCCAAATTCACCATACACCTAGGTTTACATTGCCACAGTCTCTCAACCTCGCCATGGCTGTATTCTTGCCACAGTCTCTCAACCTTGCCATGGCTGTATTCTTGGGGTTGACTTTCACTTTGTGTAGGTCATCAACTGCATGGTTGCACAGTGCCCGCCCAAAGTTAGATATCGATATTTTTTTTCAAAAGGACGAGACGAACAGGGACCAAACCCCCTCCCCCCCCCCCCCCAAAACGAACGAATATCTTCTCTAAAAAAACATCGATATTTGTGGACGACCCCTTAGTGGCACTGGTACTAGTACTAGGTATCTACCTGTAATTATTATTATTATTATATTGACTGAGTGCGAGGTCAGTATAGGAAATAAAAGCCGAGTAAAAGACCGAGGCGAAGCCGAGGTTTTTTACGAGGTTTTTTATTTCCTATACTGACCAAGTACGAAGTCAATATTAGATTTATCACGACAAACAGTCCGTATTTCAAATTCCAGAACGATAACCTCATGAATCCCGGTTTTATGATTGCACAACCGTTGCACCACGGCCTACTCATGCAGTGACAATGCTGCACTAGGCACCGTTCAACTGCGCAACCCCTAAGCAGTCAAATATAAGCAGTCAATATAGGCTAAGGAGTGAAATATGCAGGAATATTTGACTGCTTAGGTATGGCAAAAATCTATGTGAAGCAATACTAAGGGAGTGATAAAAATCTAATATTGACTTCGTACCTGGTCAGTATAGGAAATAAAAGACCTCGCAAAAGACCTCGGCTTCGCCTCGGTCTTTTACTCGGCTTTTATTTCCTATATTGACCTCGTACTCAGTCAATATTAGATACATGTGCGTATTATAATAATTATAACCCAATACTAGTTCAAAAGTAGCATTGGATAAACCTTGTTATAGTTCAGGCATATTGTTAAATTGACAGCATGAAACAAGGTGGAGGACACTGTGTTCGGAAACAGTGACCTTACTACAACCTTCCGCGGGTGGCAGAGCCCCGGTCCCTGCGGACCATTTGAACCATATGGGTGTTGAACCCGGTTCTGACCCTCACTATGCTAGGGAGGTTGGAGACTACTCAGAACCGGGTTTAACACCCATATGGTGGTGGTGGGGGGGGGGGAATTCATCCACCTGCCCTGGTAGCTGCGACCAACAAGCCGCGAAGGTGGCCAGTTGACTGCTCCAGCTGACCTGCCCTACCAAAGCCTGCAAAGGTAGCCGTTCTACGAATAGGGGATCCGGTGATTCCCCATGGCCCTAATGTAATTACC